AAAAAAAATTATTGCTTCAATCCATAACTGTTCAATCAGCGAATTTTTTAAATATCATTTGGTTATGTATGAAATTTATATGTAAACACATATCAGTGAACTTTTCCGCTCCCTTACAAAATCGAATTTCTACAACGATGAAACTTTGCATTTAATGAAAATTCAGTTCTATCGGATCAATATTTCTCGTAATTATTATTAACAACAATTTTTAACAATCATTTTTTGAATGAAATGTTACCTTTAATATCTATGACATTGTTCTGCATTATTTTGGATATAAATGCTCAGGTAATTTTAAATTTTTATTTTAAATTTTTAGCAAATTTTATTAGCTAAATAAACTAAGTAACACATCAAAAGACATAAAAATGACATGCTTGATTGTATTCTTGCAACATATGATAACATTTAAAATGCAACACAAATGTGGAATAGTTTAATTTAAATTGAAATGATAACTCAAAATCGAATATCTCAACAATGATCTGCACTTAATTAGCTTAATTAGCGTAGCATAGCGTGGTAAAAAAAAAGAATGTCTCAACAATAATCTGGGTCTAATTAATTTAATTGAATATCTCAACAATGATCTGAGCTTAATTCGCTTAATTAGGGTAGCGCAACATAACAAAAAAAAAATAACAACCATCGGTTGGAAATAATATAAAATTTATAAAGTAATAATTTTATAATTCAAGAAATAAATGCAACATTATTGACAATCTTTCAAAGATTAAAATTAATTACAAAAAAAAAATTTTTTTTCTTGTTGTCGTTTGCATCTTAATAAGGTGGAAAATGGATAAAAATAAAATTGGGTTAACGATTTAGTATTCTCACAATCATTTCACCATTTTAAAATTATCATATTACCGGTTTCAACAGTTTTCAAAGTACACTTTTTTTTCATTGTTGAGATGAATTTTAAATTTGTAAAAATAGCACAAAAAAAATTTGTCGAGAATTTGTGATAAAAAAGAAAAAATAAACTGAAAAATCTTGTCGAAATTTCTCAACAAATTTTGTTTTGTTAATTTTATAATTCAAAATTCATTGCCATTTCAAAAATTTCCAGATTTCTTCTATTTATTTTCAATTTCATTCATTTTTTGCCCTAAATTTTTTTCATTTCATCGATTCAGTTTTTTTTCTTTTTTTTTTTTGTCAAAGGTAACGAAAATTTAAGCAATTCTGACAGTTCGTAAATGTTATAAAAAAACATTTCCCTAAATTATGCTCCTTTTTTTTTTTTGTCAAATTTCTTGCAATGAAAAGGGAAAAAAAAATGCATAATTTGCATATTTCATTTGTATGAATTACTTTTTGAAATAAACATTCAATATTAGCCAGCTAAAAGACCTATTTCAACAAAAAAAAAAAAGAAAAAATGATGTGTAAAAAGTAATTTCATTATCATTTCACAATTTCATTATCAATCTTATCATTCATTGCAATGAAATTTCCATCTTCCAACTTACAGTATATTAAATAATTTGGAAATTAATAGAAATTTAGAAATTTCATGAATATTTCGTAAAAAAAGAACATTTCCTATTCCTTTGGCTTTCTTTCACAAATTAAATTTTTATTTTACAAATTGCAAACTAATTTTATTTATGAAATAATCATTCAAAATATTTATTGATTAGTTGTCAAAATAGATTGGTGCATTTTTTTTTTTTTTAGCAGCATTCATCTGAAGAATTGTTAGAGGATTCGCAGCCACGTATGATCGTAAATTCGAAAGGCGCAAATGTCAGAAGTGATTCACTTGTTGTTACCAATCCACAGTAATTTTTATTTTTAGTATTTTTTCTCAAATAAAAAAAAAAAATTAATTTAGGATTGTTAGATTATAATTATTTTCTAATTTTACATTCTTTTAACAATTTTTCAGACCACCTTTACTACAATTTTCAATTCCAATGTTCGCAGCATTTAATCCATTTCAATTGAAACATCAAACTGTAAAAGCTAAAGGTTAATTAATTATTACTTAAACAATTTTTGTAAATCGAACTCTCAGTTATTTTTTTGATGAATAAAATTTACAATATTTTCTTCCGGTTTAGATGTTTCGAATCAATTCGCAGATTGGTTTCAATCATTTCGTACCAATCTATTCAGGCCATTTCCATTATCCAATACTGATACCTTACTTGGTACTGTTCAAACATATCCACTAGCAGCTAATTTAACACATATTGGCAATTTTGGCAAATTAATGGACAGTAGTAGCCTTCCACTAAAGGTCATTTCTTCATATATATATATATATTTTTTCTACGTGTTTTTTGAAAAATTACTTAAAAAGAATTAGTTATCGCAAAGTTCTAGTTGAATATGAATGATATGCATATTATCACTCAGATAAGCAATAGCTTTCATGATGTTAGCAATAAAATCCTAATTTTCATGGATAAATTCCAATCTCTCATCCAGAGAATTTACATTTTCCTATTATCATTCCGTTTCTTTATTCGTTTAAATCGTTTTTTTTTTCAGAATTCTGCAATTTAATTTATATCTTAAATTTTATTAAATGTCAAAAAATGCGACAAATTCTTGTTTTCTTTCATTATCTAACATTTTTCCAAAAAAAAAAGAAAAAAATAAAAATACTGCAGGCTGATTTATTGTAAAATAGAGGGACTTTTTCTTCCCCAAAATTTTTTATCAGAATTTGAAAGATTGAGTAAAAACTTTTTGGACATTCAATTCTATCACAAGGAATCATTTCTCCGAGATGTTAAATTTGAAAAATAAATATTTAAAGATAAAATAAATCCTTTTTCATCTATTTATTTTTCTACTTCGAATAATTAAAATCAATTAAACTTAGTAATTAAAATCAATTTAACTATTTGAATTTACACTTCTTTTTTTTAATGTATGGTAACATTGACAAGTTTTCTTTTTTTTTTTAAGTATCAAAAATAATTTTTGCAAACATAAATGGAAAAGAAAATAAAAGGAAAGAAATTTTTATACTATTTTAAAGTTTGATGAAAATTTAAAAATTTAAATGAGATAGAGTATTTTTAAATTGCACAAATTCTTAAAAGGTAATTAAAATCACCAAATAGTAAATAATCAGTTTTAATGGTCAGTTTTAACATTTTATTTAATTAAATTTCAGCTCCAAACTATTCAAGTTTTTGAAAATTTAATGAGTTTATGTTGAGGCTTATCACATTGTTAGAAATATCTGAAATAAATGAAACCGGAAATTGTGGAATTTGATTTGAATGGAACCTGATTTATTTTAAATTAATTAATTTTGTTCATCCACAATTCATTTATTTGCTTTTGAATGTTTAATTATTTAGGAGGGGGGGGGGGACCATTCCAGAACATCTACCATATTTTTTCTTTTTTCTTAACTAAAGTCATGGAAATCTTTATTTAAAAAATGAAAATAATTTTACTTTTCACAGGTAGATTTAGCGCTTCATTATTTGGCGCAAATAGCTCAAATAATATTTGAGGGAAAATACTTTCAAATTGATTAGGTGTAAATCACAATTGTGAAATAATCCATATTTGATAACGAGAATACTGATAAGATAGTGATATTGGTTTAAAAAAAAAACGAATTTTGCTTTTTGGAAGTTATTATTCTCAATTATAAAATGCTTAATTGAAATTTAAAATGAATCAATAAAATTCAATGGTCTTTTTCTTCTTTTTTTATTTGTCAACATTTCCAGTAACTCCTTTTTTTTTTACGGTATTGAATTTGTTCTTTGTCACATAATTTGATTAGTAAAGGATTTCTTTCAAATTTAATCTATTTATATTTACATGTTTACAAAGACTGGTTAGCCAATATTATGTAAACAAGTTTTCCTTTTCATTATTAACCTGTCCATCATTGATACAAACAACCATTAGTCATTCGTTTCAAATTTGAATTTCGATCATTTGAGCTAGTTGTAATCAAACTTTTACAATCCATTACCTATCGCTACAATCATTGATTTCTTAGAAATTTAAAGAAAAAAAAATCAAAATTGTCATTTAGCAAAGCAATCATTTTTAACAACAATTATTCAACGAAATAGTAATTGACCATATCCGATCATTCGTAATTTTTCACATAAAAATTTGTTTATTGAAGAAAATCAAAAAATTGGGTTTTGTATGAGAATTGCTTAGATTTGAATAAAAAAAAAAAAGAACGAAACATCATCAGAAATGTCATCATTTTATGTGTCATTTGTCACTCTATCAAGAATATGCATTACTTATTAAAATAGAGTCTCAGGATCATTTCGAGAAATTAGAATTATAAAATTTATGTTTTTTTTTGAGATTATATTTTCTTCTGATATGATAATTCTTTTTTTTTTGTTTTAGTCATCAGATTATGATAAAAAACATCAAGAAATAATGAAAAATGCTGACCTTGGGATGAATGCGCCAAATGGTTTGATTATACCTGAAAAAGTTAATAATGATAAGGTCAAAGGTGACAATACACCAAATAACAGTTTTACAACAGTCAATGCGAATAGTGAAGCACAGGGTATTTTTGCATTCTTTTTCCAATATGATATATATTCAACAAAAACGAAATATATATTATCCATATTCTTAAATCTCGAGTAAATTTACTCCCGATTGGTTTTCGGGCAAGGTTATTCCCGATAGATTATGGGATCCGGATGGACTCTCCGAATACAACCATTCCGGATTCTGAAGGGATTTGTTCACTTTTTGTTTGAATGAACGAAACATTTATAAATGGCGCATTAGCTATTTACTGAAGAACGAGAAAGAAGTAGAAGGTATCGGAATTGAACCAATCATTCTTTTCTTTTCACTTTGGACACAAACACTAACCAATCGGTCATTCAACAGTGTCTTAAGTAAAAACCTCTAATGAGTATCATTGTATAGGTCTTTGTAGAAAAATATGAATTACTGCGCTTTGTGGGATTCTTTTAATTCGGCTGAATTTTTCCACCAAAACAAATTCTCCCCAGATATGAATGAAAATTTTGTGTCTTACATATTTTTGTGTCACAGATGGCAATGCTACTGATACAGAAAATGATTATGATGCTGACTTCGAAATGAAAAAGAATCCGGAATTGGACGAAAGTGAAATGAAAAAGGATCCGGAATTGGACAAAAGTGAAATGAAAGAAATTTCGGAATCAGGTGAAAGCGAA